AGGGTCTTTGAGTTGCTGTTCTTCAGCGAGATGGAGTAGGAGCTTAGTAAGGGTGGGGAGGGGGAGGGAGACAGGAAGAGGGTTAAGAGCTCTCAAGAAGGAAACATTTGCTCTATTTCACTATTACAGAGCTCGTTTTGTATTTTTTGTTTTTGATGTATGCTTCAAGGCTTGTGACTGGAGAAATTCTTTTTCGTCCCACCTCGTTATGTTAAGAGAATTCAACCAGACGCAACCCAAACACTTAACGCTAGTTCCACTAGCGCATAAGCATAACCATAAAGCCTGGTTTTCACTAGCGACCCAAGCACAAGCGCAAACTTGACGCAGGCATAAGCACAAGCGCAAGCACAAGCACATGGATCAAAATTATTCCTTTTTCTTGTGCTTGCGGTCATGCTTGCGTTGGCGCTGCAACAAGTGAAAACGAAACAACGTTCAGGCGTAACACAAGCACAAGGATATTTACCACACGCGGTTATGTTTGGCCAATGAAAACGCTGGATACAGATTAACTCGCACCCAAACAGTTTTCTAAAATGACGGAAGGTAACCGGATGATTTTGCTTGTGCTTGGGTTTGCGTCCAATTTCGTTTTCATTGGGTCATCTCTATTGCTTGCGTTTGGGCTTGCCCTTGTGCTTGAGCTTGTGCTTGCGTCGCTAGTGAAAATCAGGCTTAAGCCGACATATGCAAAAGCAGTATCATGTTGATAATTAGTGCCCTTATTTATGATAATTTCTTAACAAAAGGCGCTACTTAACATCACTCCACTGCGTCTGGGTATGTTGCCTATGCTTATACTTGTGCGCTAGTGGAAGGAAAAAGAGGCCACCAAATATCGTTATGAACACAATGAGCAAAGAGTTATGATGCGAATTTTACAGCATTTCGGTCTTCAGACTGAAAGAATACATCAAGTGGCGTAAAATGTTTCTTTTCACTTACCTTGCCCTTGGTTTTCTGGAGTTTGTTCCTTTGACAAAGAAGATGACGACAAGCACTGCTGTCATGATGGACATCACAGCAATTGATACCACAACGACCACACCAATCTGGGTTTGCATATCTGTTGAAAGAAACAACAGAAAAGTCTCACAACTTGACACGGTAAAGGGATTCTGGAGTGGAAAGCTAATGTCACTGAATAGCAATCTGCAGCAGGCTTTGAGCGGTCATCGAAACAAGATAGTACTCCTAAGGTCAAGGGCTTCCTAAGGTTTGTTAATACGGCCATGATGATGTAATCCATAGTAAGAACAAATTTCTGAAAACTACCGAGTGAGCAATCCACAGTTTTATTCATATAACGGGCAAACGAGCTAGCGAAGGCACACACGCTCGAACGAACGAACAAACGAACGAACGAGCACTTCGGCACACGCAAGAACGAACAATCGACTCGTTCTCACCTTGGCAACGAACGAAGGAACGAACGAAGAAATAGAGAAACAAACAAATGAACGAACGAATGAACGAAAAACTTGACGGACAAACGAAAGAACGAACGAAGAAACAAACAAACAAACGAACAAACAAACGAAAACGAATGAGCGAACAAACGAACGAACTAACGAACGTTCTCGATCTCACCTTGGCAAGGTGTACGGTTACAGCTCTGTGTCTGTAGCGTTGTGTTGCACGATTCACATGTCCTGTTTCTCATCCGAACTCCTTCATCACATGTTTTAGAACACGCACTCCACTCGGACCATTCACCTGCAGCAGGAAAACAAATCACAGAATTAAAAACATGACAAGACTTAGTTGAAATTAAGAATATTTCAGTACCCAATTTTATTGCTGACAGGCTGTCTGTTTACAAAACTATTTAAATTTTACAACAAGGTCACGCTACCATTTGTCGCTACACTGCGCATTTTCATTACAAAGCCTTGTTAAAAGATCACTCTGTCTATGTCAATTTTATTTGTAAAAGAAAACACAGTAAACTGCAAATTATTTGCCAAAAAAAAAAAAAGGTTTATCAATATTTGTTAGCAGTTGTCAGCAACTGTTACTTTTCCTTTACCTATAAAATAGATAAACGAGTTTATGATTAAGTATCAACCAATATTTGCCTCAAATTATTTACATGATGTAGTGGATCAACACACCATGTAGTAATATGTCCATATTTTCGGCTTTCCGTTTCCTGTTAAATTTTGACCGACAACGTCTTGCTAGACCTTCCAAACCGTTCAAACAGTAACTTGAATGAACAATTCAGTTTTATACGGGTGAATGAAGTCGCCGAGATTCCGATTGTTTGACTTTGCGTGGCTTCAATTCATTTATTTAGCAGTGTATTAAAGTTCAGATATGGTGGATATCGTACCTGAATGAGATGAAGCCACTAACATCAAACTCGGAGCGAATAAGGTGAGTAGCGTCGTCATGAGCTCAAGCATCGCTACCTCTGTGACCATGTGGGTTTTAAAACGTCAAATAAACCGAAACAAGGCAGAACCAACAACAAACTTTAGCCGCAGAAACTCCGAATTATCGAGGAAATGACAAAATCGCCGGCTGGCGGCTACTACTTGCTCACCAAATATTCGACACCAACCATGAAAATACTGGAACTCGCTTGTGTCTACTTCCCATCTTTGAAAGCTTCTCACGGAACTCAAGCGTTGTTTGCCATCCTTGAAGGTTCTCGACAAGTCAACCGTTATTATGAATGGATGAGACCGTTATGCTAATTCTAGAGTTTGTCGGAAACATCATTATGCAAATAATTTGGGCTGTCAGTAATCCCACGACCATTTTCATAGAGTCACGCGATACGAATCGTAATTTGACTTACTGTGAAAACGGACAAACAAGAGGATCTCAACCACGAGCCAAGTTCCTTTAAGTTTTACTGAAGTGCGAACAGCGGCGCTTAGCGAAGGAAACAAGGTTTCGCATGACGGCGTTTTCACTGACGCCATAAACAATATGACCTACTTAAACTGCACGATCATCTGCCCACAGTCTATTTTGTCCTGAGTACGTCGAGCAAACAAAAATATTAACCAGTGATGGATCCCGACCTTGAGCTAGGGAGGGGGGTGGGAAGGGAGGGGGATGGGTTTGCTCGCCCTGCCGGCTTTTCTTCCTTCTGTTATTCTTCGTTTTTTACCCAAAATAAAGGGGGCCAGGCCCCGCGGGCCCCTCCCCTAGATCCGCCACTGAAATCGTAGCTAAATTATGTCGAAATACCTTCGTTAACGTTTGTATAGCAAATGCACCTGAAACATTTAGCTAAAGATATTTGGTATCTTTTCAAGACACGAGGACAGACTTTGAAAAAAGATGCCCGACTTTTTCAAGGCAATTTGAGATCAAGGCCTTTTCCAATGTGATGGATTTTCTCTGGTAACTCATTCTAACATCCCTGCCGGTGTAGCGCTTCAGTGCACTATTATAGTTCTTAATAAAGGTGGCGCATTATTTTCAGGTTTCTATTTATGGAGACACTATCGATAGGTCCTCTTTTAACACGCATTTTCTTCACTGTGGCCCGTCAGTCGTCTGATAAACAGGCTGAGAGGTTTTCTTTTGTTGCTATTACGTGCACGAAGGTACGCGGGAATCTCCTCTGCAGCCAGTTCACCGAATCGTTGAACTCAAGGCTCTAGGAGGTTCTGGCATATAGAACACTCACTCGAACTGTCAGGGAAGTCAACTTGCAAGCTAACGTATGTTTGAAACATCCCACTGTCTTATAAAAATTTTACTAAGAGCGTGAAAGAAATTTTGAAATAATTATACTGATTATAGATTCTGTTACTCTCTAAATCTTTTCTATTTCTTCTGTTCGTCATGTGTGGTATGGTTCACGACCCTCGCTTCACGGTTTTACGGCGCCCTATTTCGTTCAATAAGTGGACTTTTGCCATCTTTTTGGGATCTGGGAAATTAAGGCCCCGTCAAAATCTACGCCAGAGGAATTTGAAGACGGAGGTTTCACTCTGAAAACTCATCAAAAGTTTTCCGTCCACACTACGCTGAAGAAATTGAAAACGCAACAGTCATCCCGCTCGGTCATTTTGGATGTCATGTTGAGTAAAACTCGGGCAAAGAAAAATCATGATTACCGTAACGGGGGTCGTTTTCTAAAAGCTCCGTTTTCAAAACGTTTTCCGTCCACACCAAAAGGTAAAGCCGGCGTTTTCAAATTCCTCCGGTTTGAAGAGCGTTTTCGAGAAGCTCCGTTTTCGTGACGGATTAGTGTGGACAGTAAGCCTAACCTAAGAAATAAAGCTACGTCTTCAAATTTCTCCGTTGAAAGAAATTTTGAAATAATAGAGATTCTGTTGCTGTCGTTCGTCATGTTTATATGTAGAGATTAAATTATTTCACGGCCCTCCTTTCACGGTTTCGCGACGTAATAGGACTTGCCATCTTTTTGTGAGTTGAGAAATTAAAACATCTGGGGCCCGTTTCTCGAAAGCACCGGAAACTTTTCGGGTCCGTTAAGCCATAGCAAAATCTCGAACCTTACGATTACCGAGCTGTTTTATTCGCATATTCTTAATATGAAGAGAGGTTTCCTTTATACAAGAAGTTTCAGGCGTATACACTTCTCCGAATTTAGATACAGATGAACTAAAAATGGCTTTACGGGCCCGAAAAGTTTCCGAAGCTTTCGAGAAACGGGCCCATGGTCGAAATTTATCGAATTCCTGGCGAGCAACGATTCAGAGTCCACCGGATTTTAGGCCCAAATTCCAACCAGGAGCTGTCTACAACATCGGGGTTACAACGTTCAATTCATTACTTTGGTAGAACATTTACCCAACACTTTTATTGCATTCTACCAATGAACGATATCCACTGGGTTAAGTTATTTTATTTGAAATTGAGACGTTTTGATTCAGAAATAACATTGCATCTTTGTATTCTTCCATTGAAAGTTTCTGTTTCTCAAAATATCATCAAATACTAATTTTGCTATACGTATGGGCCACTTAAAATCTGAAATTATATAAAATAACTATAATCTGGCTGAAATTGAAAAATTAATTAACTAGCGTTTTTTACTAATCACACTTTAAAGTTATATCATACACCGCCCTGATCCTAGTAATCTTTTAAATGTTTTCTGTTGAAACGATTTCTTGGGATTTATAAACTACACTTTTCACACAAGAGAGAAATAAAATTATCGCGCTATGAAAAAATGAAAAGTTTAGTTGTCCTTTTTCTATCTATCTCTTTGAGTGATCAACTCTCTTTTTGTTAGCCTGTTCCAGGCGTGGGTTGCTTAAAGAATAATAGAAATAGCGAAAAAAAGAAATACCGAATTCGCGCTGCTCTCCGACTTACCGAATGCCTGTAACAAGTTGGAATAGGCAATCCTCGTAGCGGGTTTTCTTGACAATTAGAAAATACTCTCTAATTCATTAATTATAATACAGTACTTTGCTTCTCTAATAAACTGTAAGCGGGATATTGGATCGTTTTATATACAGTGGCTGTCTAAAGAAATCCTGTTTGATAAGTTGGGTCGTGCATCGTGCTTTGACTAGCCAATCAGAACGAAGATGTTGCCTTCTTAGCCAATCAGATGCGAAATCAAAGTAATTCATGATTTGGCGAGTATGAATTTTCCCGCGCTTTCCGCCTTAGACTGCAAGCAGTCGATTTTTGTAGGAAAATGCCTTTAGTCTAAATACTAACTTGATCGTTTCTAATAAGCTCCTTTTAAATGTAAACTTCCCCCTTCTCCAATTTGACTCTTGACTGATGAATTATTCAGATTTATCAGACTTCTAGATTGTGCCTGTATCTCTAAATGAATGTGTACATACATACAAAAAACAAAACTCAAGTGGTAAAAATGGAACTGTGAACAATGGTAGTTTTAACCGGGCTAAAAATTTCTCAACTGTCTTCACTCGCTGGTGTTTCTTCCTGAGGCTGGACGTCTTCACTCTTTTGTCCTTCTCCTTCTCCTGACGGTTCTTCAGCTTGTGGTTCCTCGGCCGCAGGATTCGATTCCTCAGCCGCCGGTTGCGATTCACTGTCCGCGGGTGGTGCATCTTCATCTGCGGGTTTCGATTCTTCGGGTGCAGGTTGCGTTTCCTCCGCGTTTTCTCCTTCGGATGGTTTCTCTTCTTCCACTTGCGCAGTCTGTTCACTTTCTTTTTGCGCTTCTGTTTCGCCTTCACCTACTGCGCTTTCTTCTGCTGGCTTTTCGGCTTCACTCTGTTCTCCTGCGTGTTCTCCATCAGTTTTATCTTCACCGCTAGTTTCCGCTGGTGGGGCTTGCTCTGATGTCCCCGCTTCCTCTTCACTTTCCTTCACTTGCTGATCACCTTCGTCTTTAGGAGCCGTGCTTTCATCCACGGCTTGGCTTTCCTGTACGACTCCTTCGTCCTTACTCGTCTCCTCTTCAGCTTGATTAGCTGGTTCTTCGTCGTGATCTAAAGGGATTTCCCGCAGTACTTCTCTCGATTCAGCGCCCAGAGGATCCTCTCGAGGTTCGGTCTCGTTTGCTTTCTCAGGGGCAGAGCTTTGTGGTTGATCTACCGCGGCATCTTGATCTGCAAGGAAACAAAACAGCCGTTTTAATAAATCAGCCGATTTGTCAAGAGTTGCATTAATTAAAATCCTCTCTTACTTTTCTTCGACTGAAAAGCATCGATAAACCGTTTAAACATAGCTGTATTCCCTTTCTTCTTTAACCGTTAAAGAGGGCGTAGGTGGTAAAGAATAAAACCTGCTCGTCTTCCACAACAAGGCTGCAGTGAAATTTTAACTTTGTAACTCGTATCTGTCATTCTTAATACTGAGATATCACTCGTTGACCAATGAAGAT